AAGGCCATCCTGGGCAGGTCATATGTGAAGATGGGATGTGGGCAGGTGCTAKAGGACATGGCTGGGTGGGGCATGACAACAGGTCAGACCAGCATGTGGGAATTCTGGCCTGATAAACACCTTCAGCAAAGGGGCCAATGTCTTAACCCGATACTGTCTGAGAACAAAATAAGTCTGATCCTATGCTTTTATATGGGAGCTTTTTAACACTCCTCTTTTTTTWAAATATTTTTTAATTGYAGTTGGATACAATACCTTTATTTATTTATTTATTTTTATGTGGTACTGAGGATCAAACCCAAGGCCTCACACATGCTAAGTGAGCGCTCTGCCGCTGAGTCACAACCAACTCCAGCCCTAACACTCCTCTTTTTAAAGCTTAATTTCTCCATCAGAAATGTCTGATCTTTGCCAATTGGAGATCAGCTGGTTGAAGGCTTTATAAAGCACCAATTAACCATGGAAAAAGTTTCACCACTTTCCAGAAGATACCAAAAACAACCCAAAGATCTCTGGACCTTCCTGGGCTGGCTTGACCTATTTTTATCCATTTCAAATATCCAGTTTCTACTTGCTTCATTAAACCAACTTGCAGTCCAGTATCTTTGAGTGACCATTCTCCTGTTCTTTGGTGCTGCATCTGACTCTTCTCAGCATCCTGCCTAGAATTCCCATCACCTTCCAGGACAAAGAAAATGAGACATTCGTGAACCAGTGGGCAAGATTATTGTTTGGAGGTTTTGTTTGTTTTTTTTTGTTTTGTTTTGTTTTTTTCCTGCACTGGGTTGATCATACTACCAGCCTCAAATATAGGCAGGCAAAAAATTCAATGACTTCAAATGCAAGGGCCTTGAAAACACAGACTTTAAATTAGAGTTAGGCTTCCTCTATCCAAAACACACCTACTCAGACACCTCACTATCTAAAATCAGACCAGAACCTAGGCATGAGCCAAGAGAAGTCTAAACAGCCAAAATTATCTAGATAGGCCCATATTGGTATATTTAAAGTAGCATATAATTCAAAGCAACTGTGTTCCCCAGAGGGCTGGATGGCCTGTTATTCCTTAAGAGAGACTGGATGAGTCCTACGGGAACAGGAAAGGCTAGGTTCCTTGCTCATAATCTGTTTACTTTTTGTTTACACAGAATTTCGACAAGTTTGCATATCTGGTTCTCAACCCAGATCAGACTAAAAGACGAAAATTATACAAAAAAAGAAGATGGGTCATGAGGTTGCTACAGRTAAAATAGCATTCTTCCTGACAACTGGGAAAAGTAACTAGTGGCCATAAGAAAAGAGATGAAATGGTAAGAAGGAGACCCACACAGCCCACAAGTGCAGCAATACAATGTCTCTCAAAGGTTTTGGAACTGGAATAACAGCACAATCACTGGTTTAGAATAATGACCCTACACAGAGCAAAGATGTTAAATTAAGATCAGTATGTTTTATTTTGAAACCTGGTGATGTGAACTTTTTCTTAGAAAAACTTCCATCTGAAAGGATTAATCTTTTCAAAATGGTTTATCTATCTATCTATCTATCTATATTGCACTAGGGATTGAACCCCAGGGTRCTCTACCTCTGAGTTATATCACCAGCCCTTTTCATTTTTTGAGACAATGTCTCCTAAGTTGCCCCAGCTGCCTTGAACTTGAGATCCTCCTGCCTCAGCCTCCTGAGTAGCTGGGATTATAGGTGTATACCTGTAATCTGGTTTAAATGTGTCTAAAAGGATGAACCTTGAGCTAGTTAGAAAGCTCCACCATCCACCAAGGCCTGGAATTGTACTGGATAACTAAGGTTTCACCCAAGCTCTGGGTGAACCCTCTAAACTACTTCCTAAAGGACAGTCAAGCCCCTAGTCAGCCCGAGAAGTGCTGTGGCTTTGACTTATATACTATTTGGAATAAACGAACGGGTTTTAAGGAGGTTTTACTGTATTTGGTTTGCAGGCTTTACTTGGCAGCATCTCTTTAAAAAGGCTGCCTGCCTTTGAACTAATCCTCTATTTATAATCCAGCTGGAGAAAGGCCGCGGCAATGTATACACATTCCTAGAATTTACAGAGTGCTGCTCACGTCAGCCCTGCGCCCCCATCCAGAGCCCCTGCCTTGGCCCTCACTTCACCAGTGAGCACCCTGAATCATCTGGGGAATGTCTGGGTGCTGCAGTCCAGAGGCTGCCTGGCATGTCCAGGAAGGCCCCCTCCGCTCTGGGTGGGGATGGGGCAGTTGCTGGATCAGGCTCAGTAGACACCATCACTCACTCCTGACCCTGCGCTGTGCAGACGCCCCACCAACCGTCGGGGGGCTGCCGCCTGACGCTCAGCTTGCCCCCTCGAGCCGTTCCTTTCTTATAACTCATTCCCTCCCGAAAACCACGCCAACTTCACATTTTCCTTTTTTCCCCCTCTCACACAAATTATTGCAAGTCATGGCAGGCTAAATATAGCCCCCAGTCTGTTTTCCAGATGCCGGGGCCTCCAGCCGCCTCAACATTTTCCTGATGTCCTTCCAGCGGCCTCTTTCTCTTGCTTTCCTTTCTCCTCCTGTCTCACCTTTTATATTTTATTTTTTGCTTTCCTGATACGCCTCTATCCCCCGCTTCCCAGGCTCCTCTCATCTTTCCTGCCCTTCCAGCTCAAAGGAAAGATCTAGAGCAAGGCCAGAAGCCAGACAACCCCCTCCCCAGCCGTCCAGCGCGGTAAAGCTGGAATAAGGACATAAATAACCTAGAACAGAGGCAAGAGACACTGGGGTCTCCAGGACCCTCAGGAATGAGCTCCCATGGTTCTCACCTAACCCTCCCTTACTTGCTGATCCAGAGTCATTTAACCCCCTTCCTCGTCTCTTTCTTCCTATTGGGTCCTGGGTGCCAAAGAGTGGCTGGACATTCCCCCCATTTGACAACTTCTTGGGTTACTGGAAAGTGTCTATTGGGACACGTTTCAAGCCATCACTTTCTTGAGGTTAAATACTGTCAGTTCCTCTTGCCTTTCTTCATCAGACCTATTTGTCCAGAGTTTAATTGTTTTCATGGGTTCTGTCCATGCCGTGTCCATCATAGGATGGGGAGCCGGGCCTGCAGTCTCTGCACTAATAAGGGCTTGATTCCTGCTGTGTGAGTGTGTTRGAGGATTTCCCTGATACTTCTTCCTCACAGACCCTTCTTAACCTCAACCTGATTAACATTTGGGGACATAATTGTTGGAAGGACTCTCCTGGGCATCTGGGGTGTTTAGCAGCATCCCTGGCCTCCATTCACTAGATGCCAGTAGCACACACACAAGTTATGACAACAGAAAATATCTCCAGACAGGGCCCAATATCCCTAAAGGCAAAGTCACTCGGGGTTGAGAACCACTAGCCCRGTGAGATAGGCAGACTAGCAAACGATTGTTACCATTCAAAGAAGCCCTACAACAGGGGCATAAACGCAGGACTGCGCATGGGTCAGAGGGAATTTGAGTTGTTCTGAAGGGTGGATACAAGTTTCCCACAGAGAGACAGCGCTGGAAGGAGGACTTTCCAGACAGAAAGAGAAACATGTGCAAGGGCACTGGGGTGTCACAGAAAAAAACAACAGTTGCCTGGCATGGCAGGTATCTGGGCAGGAACAAGAAATGGGGATGAACTGGGTCTGCCCCCACTTCATAAAGGGCCTTGTGTGACTAGGAAACAGGGAGCTTTTTAAGCTGGGGAGCCTGACGAACAGATGCATTTTTGGCCTGAAGGAACGGAGAGGAGGGGAAGGCATGGGGGTAACTCAGGAAGATGACCATGCGCATTGAAGGCRATGGTGCTTGGAAAGGGAACAAAGGGGACAAGACTGGAGAGCTCTTTCTGAGMCGGAACAGACAATAGATGTGGGGAAGGAGACAGAATAAAGTTGAAGGTGACCCCGGTGCCTGGGAGTYGATGGAATCCTGCTGGGCCAGTTTTGGCATGGAGGCCTTTTTCCACCCTGGAAATGTTGTGGATTTCGGGCTGCGTCCACCTCCTCTGGGGAGATGAGGCGCTGGGATATTTACGTTGGGGAGAGTCTGTGCCGATYTTTCCTCCTTGTTTGCTTTTAGGTCAGGCTCATGGGAGGCATCTGGTGGGCAGAACCCAAACCTTAGGAACTGGGTTCAGGAACTGAATGTCTAGTTTTTCCACCAACCGCCTCTGGCACTCGAGTGCCTGAGCCTCAGTTTATCCATCTGTGATTGAAGAGAAACTCCCACCCCCAACCSGCCAGGATGTGGTGAGTGTGAATAGGGCTGTATCCGTGGGTGGCTCAGACCCCRTGGGTACTTGGCAGGCAGAGCCTGCAGTTGGCAGGAGCCGTGCGTGGTTGTAATCAGGCCTGATGGGAAGGCCCCGACTCCACCGCGGCCTTGAGYGGCTGCCAGCTCTGTGACCAGGCCTGCTTCAGAACTTGCCTGCAAGTTATTTATTTTTTTTTTCCAGCATGTCTGGTTCCTACAAATGGACTTTCTAAAATCTTCTCAGGCTCCAAGAAGCCCCTTGGGCTATGCATCCCCTGTCCTTCATGATCCCCTGGCTCAGTGGGAAAACCTGGAGATGATTTCACTCCATTTGGCTACATGTAGATACTCCCCTTCCTTTCCTCACTGCCTTCCCATTTATTGTGAAAGGAAAGAATAGGAGGCTGGGATGGAGGCTCTGTGGAGAGGCTGGCCTGGCTAGCCAGTCACAATGACCTTGGGCCTGCTAGCTAACTCCTTTCCCCCGTGTTTACCCTGGACAGGCAAGGTGAGTGGATGGCACCCAGAGGCAAATGGTGAGTGCAAGTGTGCATGTGTGCGTGTGTGTGTGTGTGTGTGTGTGTGTGTGTGTGTGTGTGTGTTTACTGCTCCTCTCTCCCAGAAGCCTGGCGCTGATGGTGATGTCTCTCTCAACGCAGGAACAAGGGGTTGCATTGTTAGCTTGCCTATCTCTTGGTTTCTGATTCACCCTGGGCCACTGCAGCCTGAGCAGGTTCACAGCTGCTCAGGGATACACTTTCCAGCACATTTAGGACTTGGAACAGCCCCAGGTTTCAGGAACACATGGTGATGGGGGAGGGAGTGGGGCTCAAATAGACTAGGAAGGGGGAAGCAAGCTCCTTCTTTCTTTCTTCAAGATGAATCTCCATTTTCATCATCTGATAGCAGGAACAGCATGTGAGGACRGCGGATGAATTGCAAACCTGTGCAGGTCGGGGGAGAGGGCAGGCAAGTGGGGGGAGATGGGCAGATTTAGTTCATCCTGGCTGAGGTCTCCTTGTGCAGCCTGCTCCCCTCTGACTCGCAGCTCTTGCTCCAGTTACAGCCTCCACCCAGCCCCCCAAGCCAGCCAGGGACRCTCCAGTGTACCCCGGAAGTCGACCCCTGGAGTGAGTTTCCAATAGCCATGGCCAAGGGGACGAGGGAGGAACTTTGGACTGTCCCTAAGATCTGGGGAGCTGGGGCTCATGCAGATTCCATCCCACAARGCAGTGGTGTCCTTCCTCTTTGTTCCTGCTGGCTTTTTAAGGAGGACACAGACATGGAACTTTCCCAGCCTCTGCCATCTCCTCTCTTTCTCTGAGGCAAGTAACTGCCTCACAACTGACAGGAGCCAGGTGACGCTGTTGTCTCTTGCCCATATTCCACCTCAGTCATGGACCCCTCCACCTAATCACTAGACATGGTCCAGGTGCTGGTTTTAGTTAGAGCAGAATATGGTCCCTGAACCCTGAGACCCCCCACGTTGATGGTGAATCCAAAGGAATGGGTAAGTCTTTAATGCCCGTGTGACAGGAGCTGATGCAGGACAAAACCTGACTTGAGCACTCTCAGTGACTCTGAGGGACCTGTGACAGGGACACGTGGCTACAGGCAGCCTTCCCCTCTGTCAGCATCTACCTGGGCAACCTGGAGCAGGCTTCTCTGTGCGCCACAGCCCACCCGTGGGGATGACAGCGGATGTTCACCTGCCTGCCAGGGTGGCTGCAAGATGCAAGGTAAACTGTGTGCACCACACCAGGGCAACGTAGAAAGCCTGTCTGACTCTCAGATTGCTCTTCTCCCCCTTTTCTCGATGTGGTGACTAAGGATGGAGGACTGTCCCATAGGAGCCAGGATCAGAACAGGAAGGCTGATGTGCTGCTGGAGCTGGCTGCCCCTTCCGGTCCTGCCTGCCAGGGGCAGTGCTGCACAGAGCTGGCTTCTGTGTGGGGCTCGGAGCAGCTCCCGGCTCCCACCCAAAGCCCCTTTCTCCTGTGCTCTTGCAGAGCTTGCTCACAGGCTCCCATTCAGAGGCTGACTGATTGAAGAGGCGGCTGTGGGTCGGCAGTGTGACCTTTGGGCCCGCCTTGGTGGGTGAGTGAGTTAAGCCCCCGAGGCCCCTCCACCCCAAAGGGACCAGCCAGGCCCTGATTCTGCACARATCTAGCTAGGAAGGTGCCATATGGCAGGGAGGACGGGGCTGAGGTCCTGGCTTTCAGCCCCCATGGGTTACCCAYCCCTTCTCTTCAATGTGCCCATTCACAAAGCCAGGCAAATAATCACCCTTCTCTCTTCGTGTGGATTAGAGGAGGGGAGGGGCTGAAGGTGAGTTTACAACTGACTCCATGAGAAAACAGGAGAGATCCTTGGTACCATCCAGTTGCCTTGTTAACAGTTTTTTGGTTTGCTTTTTGTTTTTGGTACAAGGGACTGAACCCAGGGGCACTTAACCATTAAGCCACATCCTCAGCCCTTTTTATTTTTTGAGACAGGGTCTTGCTAAGTTGCTGAGGCCGGCTTAGAACCTGTAAGCTTCCTGCCTCAGCCTCCCGAGCCACTGGGATTATAGACCTGCACCACTGCACCCAGTTGAACAACTTTTTTTTTTTCAAAGATAGAATGTTCCATAGGGTGCACTGCCCAACTGGACAGTCACTAGCCACAGGTGGCTATTAAGCATTGCAATGTAGCTAGTGTCACTAAAGAATGAAACTTTTAATTACTTAATTTAATTAGGTTTAAATAGCCGCATGTGGCTAGTGGTGACATTTTATTGGACAGCGCAGGTCTAGTGGAGAGGGAATGCTGTGTCTTTGAGGCCACACAAACCCAGGTTCAAAGTGTGACTCTGCAATATATACTTGTTCCTGTGTGGCTGCTTAACCTCTTAGGACTCAGTTTCCCCACTATTTAATATACAGTTGAGTAAATAATACTAAGTGAGCCTGGTTGGGGACAGGCTACTGTGCAGCCAGCATCAAAACCAGAGTCCAGGTCACTGGCTCCAAGATGCGCTCACAGCCAATCCTCCTTCCCTGCCTCAGCCAGTGTGAGGGTGCAGGCTGCAGAGATGGGAAGGAGGATATAGGTCCAGACTTCTTCCCTGGCCTTGGCTGAGGGAGGCCGGTGTGCAGGAAAAGTCTCCTCTCTCCAGTGCAAGGAAGAGTTGGCAGACCAGGTCCAGAAGTCTTGGGCTAGGCCATCAGGCATGGCTTTCAACTCTGTGGCCCCCAGATGAATCTTCCATAAGCAAGTGTCCCAGTGGGCCAGCCTGGACCCAGGCTGCATGGCGATGCTACCAGAAGGAAATGCCCTGCCCTGGTCCTCAGCTGCCAGCTTTTCCTCCTAGACTTCTGCCCCTCCTGCTTTTCTTCCTCCTATACCTGAGCCCAAACTTATCTGTCCCATATCCCATCCTGGTGAGAATCTGCTCATTATTTTCCCAAATGACAACTGCATCTCCGTGGTCCCAGGTACCAATGTCCTCCTCAGATCTGATTTTGGCCTTTCCAAGAAGTGTGGACAACAGGATAAAGAAGGGGAGGTCCTGAGCCAGGTCAGAAGGTGAGAGCGGGGAGGGAGCACATCCCAGGCTGCTCCGAGGGCAGTCACCTCCCCTGTCTTGCTCTCCAGAGCCTCTGAGGCAGCTACCTGCAAACCCTGTGCCACCATGCCAGGTAAGTGGGGGCTCCCTGGAGCAAGGATCTGGGCCCAGGACATTCAGCCCAGCCAGCACATGCTGGTCTGTCCTCAAGGTGCATGGCACCAACAGTTCATCTGGATGACAAGGTCCCCCTTCCCCAGTGAGGGAGAGTTGGCACAGTGCCAAGCGTGGGTTTCCCCAACACACCTTCATCTCCCGGGGCCCACATGTCCTCGCCCAGTGTTATGTCACAATCCTGTAGTGAGAGGACAAGAGCTCTGCCCCATCCATGGAAAGGGAGATGGAGTTTCAAAAAGCTACCTAGTAACTCTGCATGACTCTCTCCCTCCTCCCCACACTGAATCATCATCATCATCATCATCATCACCACCGCCATCACTTTCACTTAGTAAAGGCCAGGTTCTGTGTGTGGAGCCTGCTTTATTACATCATCTGAGAAGTAGGTATCATGTTCCCTATTTTATAGATGGAGAAACTGAGGACCAGAGAAGTCACTAACTTGTCTAAGACCACACAGCTCCTTTGAAGCAGGAGAGAGAAACATGAGGCCCGAGATATCACTCTGTGCCCTGCACAACTGCCCAGGACGGAGGAGCTAGAGCAGGGAAAGGCTGGTGAGGTGGCCGTCACAGGCCACTCCATAACATGCCACTGAGCCCAGAACATGGAGTCTGCCGCCTGGAGCAAGAGAAGAGCTCGGTGGGAGTCGGCCTGCAGAGCTTCAGGAAAACCCCCGGAGAACCAGCTGCAGATCTTCTTTCCCTCCACTCCACCCTCGTGGAGACTTTTCCTCCAGGCCAGCCTGTTCTGCTGGAAAAACAATCTCCCCTGCCTGAGGACCCGGGCGGCTGGGCTACCTTCTGGTCTGTCTTCATTCAGATCCATTTCTCCCCTCCCTGGAGCCGGGGGAGGGAGTCATGCTGGGGGAGGCACGGGTGGGGCTGAAGACTTCATCTGTCCCCCTTTAAGCCAAGCAAAGAAAAATAGCCTTTTGCCAAGATCTTTCATCTCAGTCATTTACTCTCGCAGATGTTTTCTGCAATATAAACAAGAAGCAAGGAATGTCGGGGAGGAAAGGAGGACGGGAGGCGGGCAGGAGGGAAGGAGAAGAATCAACAGCTTTGAAACCTGGGCCTGCAGAGGGCAGGAAACAGGACCTCAGCAGGGGCCCTGCTGCCCTGAGAGCATGGGCAAACCCGAGGTCATTGCCCCAGGCCAAGCAGAGGGCGGCTACTGGGGGTGTCTTTGAAAGAAGGCTCTGGAGAAGTGGGCCAGTGAGTGGTCACCCCAAACAGGCTCCCCCTGCCTGGGAACCTGCCCATGGGGAGACACTGCTGGGGTGTTACCTGGAGTGGCACCTGGCTGGGGCACACCCTTGCCCACCTTAGCACACCCTGAAGGCTGTTCTGGACTTCAGAACTCTGTCCACTGCCCAGATCTGCCAGCAAGACCAGTGGGAGGTGCGGCACCCACAGTGGCAATAAGGATTTGGTCATAGAGGGAGGAGGAAGAATCCTGAGCTGGGGGTGGAGGGCAGGAGCAGCAGATCACACAGTGGGTCAAGAGCTAACCAGGAAGGCAAATGGCTCCCAGCTCCACATTTTGTGGGATTCCTACTGGTGTCAACAGCTAATAAGCCTGGGGTTGCAAACTCAAATGCCTCTGGGGACTGACCAGGAGCCCAAAGGAGTGTCCCTGAATGGGGACAGTATGAAGAAGAAAAGGCAGACCCATCTAGAAGGGTGGCCACCACTCAGCTTCGCACTACGAAAGATTCAAGAGAGCCCAGAAATCCACAGCTGTGTATAAAACTCCTGTTTTATTTTTGTTGTTGTTGTTGCTTTTCTTTTGGGGGGGATACCAGAGATTGAACTCGGGGGCACTCAACCACTGAGCCACATCCCAGCCCTATTTTGTATTTTATTTAGAGACAGGGTCTCACTGTGTTGCTTAGCKCCTCRATCTGGCTGAGACTGGCTTTGAACTGGGGATCCTCCTCCCTCAGCCTCCTGAGCCACTGGGATGAAAGGCAAAATGCTACCACGCCCAGCAAAACTCCTCTTTTGAACAATATCAGAAACACTATGTTGGCCACACGGAGAGTAGCTGTGAGCAGATTTTAGTTTATGAATCAATATTTGCAAAAAGTTGGTTGTGTGAATGAATTCTGTTTTCCTTGCMCTGATCTCAACTTCACAAAAGGAATCGTGAGAAGAAGGTTGAAAAAGAAACAACAGGGGCTGGGATTGTGGCTCAGTGGTAGAGTGCTCGCCTGTCACGGGCGGGACCCGGGTTCGATCCTCAGCACCACATAAAAATAAAAGCCTTGTGTTGTGTCCATCTACACCTAAAAAGAAAAAAAGAAACAGCAAACTATCTCCCCACAATGGAGCTGGATATTCAGATGGATTCACAGAATCAGAGCCTGGTCCCAGCCCTCAAGGATGTACGCTGTAGCTGGGAGAACTGAGACCCAGCCTTGACACTGGCACAGGATGTTGAGGGGAAGGGGAAGAGGAAGCCAGGCAGTGCTTCCCACCGGAAGTGGTGTTTGGGTTGAACCTTGAAAAGTGGATAGGAAGAGCTGCTTGTTGCAGGCTGGTCCTGAATTCTAAAACTGGGAGACTTCTCAGGACACTGAGATCTCTGCAAAACTAGGACCTGGGACCCCTGCCTGCTGAGAAAGAGGGCCCACCCTACTCTTGCCACCAGCCTTCCCTCACTCGCTCTCACCCACTGCCACGAATTGTACGTAGGGTCTCTAAGAAACCATCACTTAGGGTCTCCAAGAGAAAGTTAGTGAATGGGTGGCACAGGCAGAGTTGCAGACCGTGTTGGAGGGCAGCCATTCAGGAAGGAGTGACAAAGTGTTCCTGATGGTCAGCAGCCTCATGTTTCACATAAGGGCCCATGAGGATTGCTGGTGCCCGGGATTTCCTAGAAATGCCCCAAATACTGAGCTCCTTGCAAAGAAAAGATTGGGAAGGGAACCAACTCTGGGTTAGCCCCGGCTGAAAGTTCATGTATTTCTTAGAATCTGCTGCATGGCAGTAATAATCATTCCTGCCTCAGAGAACAGGAGATAGACCAGAGCAGTGAGCTCCGTGAGGACAGGACGCCCCACTGACGACACAGGGCCTGCACCTCGGAGCAGATGAGGCTGAAGGTCAGGGGCTCACCTGGGGTCGTGTAGCCAGAAGTGGCCAAGAGAAGACGCAAACCCAGATCTGCCTGGCCCCAAGGCCCACGCTCTTCCACTATGCAAAGATTCCCAAAGGTCACTCATAGAGGAAGGTCCTGCCTGAGTGCCTAATGACCCAAGTGTTGAAGACTGGCGACTGGGCGTGCTCCATACCCTTTGCCACGGCTGATGGATCGATAGAGAAGGCGGTGCAGTGTGCAAACGTTACTCGTGCGGCCTGCCTTGGGGAATGATGGGGATCCTCTGAGGCCGTGTGGCCCTCTTATTCATTCGATGCTGCTGGGTACCTCCAGGAAGAGCAGGCCCAGCTCTGCACATGCCACTGTGACCGCCCACGGGACAATCTCCACCCAGCCTCCCTTTAGCTGTCACCCACTGGTCTCTATTTCTGCTCCATGGACAAGGCTCTTCTTCATAACCATTTTTCACATATGCAAAGACCAGCCTTTGCCCTCTCTCTTATTTGTCTCTTCTGCGTTTCCTTCACCTGTTCCCAGGTGACACACTCTCAGATCTCCTCAATATCCCCATGCCTCTCTCCAAACGGAGTGCAGTTTCTTTCTGCTGCTTCTTCAGAAGTGTCACGGTAGCATCCCAGGTGGAACAGACAAGCAAAGAGTCCAGCAGGAAGACACACTTTCCTCATCCTCAAAGCTCTTCTGTCAGTTAATGTCACCTCAAATTGTTCTTCAATCAATGTCACCTAAATCACACCAATTTTCTTGGTAATCATGGGCGGACTCACATCACATTTACCATCAGTACATGCCCCCAAGTCTTTCACATCTCCTCCATCCTGAACGGGTAGAGCTCCGTGTGATTCAGCCCCAAGGTCCCGACATTATTTCACTGTGTCACATTTAGCCGCCATTAGTCCAATCATCGTCACCGTTAGGGATTCTAATTCTGATAGCTAAGGTATGAGAATTCTCCTGCTAACAACCAGTAGCTAAGCCTGATCTCTGATGGTTCTTCCCAGTTTCTGGTTGAAGTACTGAAAGGGAAGGACCGTGAGAAAGCTACAGAATGTGGATGGGATCCTCTGTCCAGGTGGGACATCGTTTGTCAGCAACTTTAAGGACAGTCACTTAGCACCTCCCCTGCCACTCCACTTAGGCTGTCTTCCAGCTCTCCTTGATCTCATCAGTGCCATCAGGTGCCTGAGCTATTGCCTAATGCCATGCAATGGCCCCCAACATAGGCATCCCATCCATTCCCTTAAAAACGTGCATCTGGTAGTTGCCTCTTTTCTTGGTGAATCCATGCTTATTCCTAACGATCAGCACTTTCTTTCCTAGGCCTTCAGAAGTCCTTCCTTTATCTGTAGATSAAAAGCTCACCCCTGAACCCAAAGACCAAGCCCTTGGACAACTGGACTTGTTAATTCATTATTCTTGGCATGCCCACTTCCCCTCCAGATCCCCCTCCGTCCTTCTCCCTCCTGCACCGTACCCAGGAGACTGACCTGGACTCCATTACTGGGCACCTTTGTCCTCTGGTCTCATTTGGGTTCAGCCAGTGGGGAACACCAAGACATGGCAGGTAGGACAAAGTCAAAGTCAAGAAATGTATTCTCTTGGACCCCTCCTTGACTGTCTCTCAATGGCCCCTTCATCTAAAGTCATAGGCCCTGTTGGGTGGCTGTCTCCTGCATACTTTCTCTCATGCCTCTTGACTGTACCCTCAGGGTCCTCACCCCTGCTGACCCTAGAGGACCTTATTATGCTWTGTTAGCTTTGTTTAACCTTGCCCATATCTTGTAAGTGATTCAATTTCTAAATTCTGCTCAGTCACCCCATTTAAGTGTGCCATCTCTTTCCTGCCAGGATGCTGACTGGTGCACTCATATTTTGAGTCATGCTTCCTAAAGACAAGCCCCAGCTGTGCTCAGGTGTGGGAGGGAGTGGAGGTATTGGTGAAAACAGTGCAGAGTTTAMGTGCACAAGATCTGTGGTCTCACTGAGCAAGAGTGAATTCATTCCCATCGGTGCTCTAGCTAGGGCCATTTAAGTTCTCTGAACTCTGCTTTCTCTTCCATAAAATTGATGCAGTAACTCCCCCWCACAAGTTCTTCATCAGGATTTGATGAGATTATATTTGCAAAACACTAATTGGCATCAGGTGTATTGTACATCCTTAATAAATGTAAATTATCGATTTTTATTAAGAGAAAAATCTAACTATTGAGGGTATTGCTTTAGTGCTAGAATATGCTAGCAAGAAGCTACAAGGTCTGACTCTATGGCTACCAGGTAATCTGCCCATCAGATAATCTGCCCCACCCTACAGGAGAAAGAAAAAAATAAGTGTTGTTGTTATTATTATGTTAGCTAGAGAAGAAGTCTATTCTATTACTTATTTTTTTTTTAATTTAACAATAAATACTTTTAGGAGGCTGTTCTTACATTCTACCTGATGTCCCTTTCCTATTGATTTTCTGTGTGGTCTTAAAAGTCTCCCAGCCTCATAGTTGTGCATGATGCCTACTTGTTTAAACTAAGAAAAAATGGCACCCTTCAGCCTGCCCTAACAGAGCTCCTCCCACTCCTCCTTCCTCCAGATGATGTTCTTACCAAAATAAGGTTCAGAACAGAGTCTCTTAACTTGGTCCAAAAGCTAAATCTGAAAGAGGTCAAAGATTCTCTGGTCAGTCACATTTCACCCAACTATTTTTAGCTGGGGTAAGGCGAAACAAGATTCCCCAAAGATCTGGGTCCTGTCAAAGTTGGAAATCGTGCCAAGATGGAGGAATACAGCTATCTGTGTTGGAAAAGAAAAAACAGTTCCCTCCTTCATAGCCGCAGGATGGCTGTTGGCTGCCAATGAATCTACCTGCTCTGTCTTGCTTGCGTTAGATCACATTGGGTTCTTCCACTTATTTGCTATTTGTCCCCACCTTTACTACTGAGCTTGTCTACTGAATGATCAATGTGTTGACCATCCCCTGGTCCATCTCATGTCATACTATCCTCCATCTCCTGTGTCAGAAGCTTGGCAGATCTTTGGCTATCTGTCCTAATAGAAATGCACTGCAAAGCATCCTGGGTTCTCCATCTGGACAAACTCCTTTCCCAGCCTCTTCTGCCAGTGCCCCTACTCCTATTTCTCTCTCCTCAGAGCACAAACTTTGCCATGCTCTTCTGTCCTTTTGCTCCTTTCTTCCTCACTCATGTCGCCCTACCAAGTAGCAGTCTTCATGCCTGGAGACATCTGCCCTTCCCCATTCTCCTTCATGACCCTCCACTCTCTGACCTCTGTTGCCAGAATCCCTTGAATTAGAAAACCGGAGATATTTCCATGACTTTTAAGGCTGTATTGACAAAACAGCAAAGAAAAGGGAAGAGGGACCAAGCTCAGAGTTTCTGCCTGACCCCGAATTGCCGGCCTCTGAGGGCAATGCCATGGGAAGGTGACCTCCCCAAGTCCCAGGACCATCCCAATGGGCTGACACAATTGGCCACTCAATGGCCAGCTCTTCTGCTGCTCTGCTCCTCTGGCAGGACACGGGGCAAATGGAAAGTGAGTTKCAAGTTCAAAGATGTGGATAGAGCATCGTTCAGTGATTTATGGCCTAGGTCATGCTTTC